TGCAGATCACCGTGTATACATGGACTACATATGATATCAGATTGCCACCTGGATGCCATGATCACCATTCTGATACGTATCGTTTCTAATTGGGAACATATAAATGACTGATATCATGCAAATGCGCTCTCTATGACGAGTCTTCATATTCTAATAAGGTGTTGATCTATTCAATATTATCTCTAAACTGTCGAATATCCCAATCCGATTTTTGCCAGAAACCGCTCCTACAGCAGAGGTATATCAGCCTAGGCATCATACGTATCAATATCGTTGCTACCTCTGGACATAATCCGTTCTCTAACCCAGCCTTTACTACATTGCTGATCATTAAGCTCCAAGACGATTTTGCACATTGATACCCTAGCTTCCATCGCCGAGACCATCCAGCAATATCGAGATGAAGTTCCAGTTACTGTGCGCTCTTGTGGCTGCCAACCTTGCCTTTGCCGAGCCAATCAGCAAAAAGTACAATGAATGCTTTTCCCAGACTTTTATCCGTAACCTCGAATATTGTGGCAAACATCCCATATGTGAGCCTCTTTGGCGACTTCGTAGCTGTATGATCCATGATCTCAACGGATTCAGTGATAAAGCCCCGTCTGAGGAATTCTTTAACAAGTCCTGGGAGACATGTGTAAGTTATTCATTAAGCTTTTATATATGCAAGGTTCGCTTGACTGATCTCTTTATATTTAGCTGTCGAATGTGTCAAAAACTGTACAAGACAATTCTCGTCTTACTCCCAAGGACAAGGAACTCGCTCTGCAGGCTCTGAAGGAGAGGGAGGTACAGGCTGTCAGTGTGAACAAAGAATGCTCGAAGAATCATAGCTAGGGGGCGTTGATTTGCGTTGGGCACAGCAACTGAAAGGGCACCTTGAACTGTCTCTTGAAATAAGAGATGTGTTGGAGGACAGGTATGTCTATTGATCAATACGTAGGACAAATGGAGCTCGTCCGGTTCCTGTTTTACAATCCATGCTTGTCTTTCTGTATTCAACGGTTACTTTCTTTTGGGGGAGGGGGATGCACTGTTACCTAGTTATATAGTTGGCTGTGGGCTTAAGAATGATAGGCTATCTTATGAAGCCCTTCAAATAATGAACATTGTCTCTTGGTATCTACTACAGATACCAGCACCCCCTCTAAGTTGAGCTCTCTTAGGCTAACAGGGCTTTGACCATTTAATTGAGTTACTCTAAATCTGTTTTCTTTTAAGTTTAGGATATCTCTTCTTGTGATCCTGGAAATCCTAAGATTCCAGCAACAGATATCTTGCCACTCGCTGGCCCCTACAATCAACTAGTAATCGACGATGAAGGGTTAACCAAAGGGGCATGTCTCCGTGTAGAAAGGTCTAGTCTTCGTCCCAAGTGCAGCTTCACACTTGAATTCCTGTGTCCAAATGTCCATTGGTTACTCGGGAGGCGTATCTCACAATATAGTGTAGCAAATGTAGTCATTCATAGGCTGTTGTCAAAAGCTGGCGTGATCGCGAAATTAATACATCCATCCACAGTACTCAGAAGCCATTCACTATGCAGATATATATATGCAGCGCTACTATCCTTCTAAACCCATGCGTTATGCAACAGGAGCATACTCTAATTCTCACCTCCATTGCAAAACCCTTCTTCCACGAGTCCCCTCTGGCCACAAATCAATCACCTGTGCCGAGAACCCCCTCTGTTCAATGCATGAACTTTCACCATTACCATCCTCAGAAAGCGCCTCTAGGGCTTCTGCCCTACTGACTTCCGGGTCTTTTTTCCCAGTTATATAGCAATTGAAAGCGACGACTTTCACCCATCACAGCATGTTAACTCAGGGGAAGAGTGCCGGGCTCATAACCCGGAAGGCGCTGGATCGAAACCAGCACATGCTAGCTTTATTTTTTGAATTTTTTGGGGTATTTGGTGGCTTTGGATTGGATAAATAGTGGATTTGAAGTGGGACTTTCGTGAAAATTTTATGCGGGATTCGGGCTATCTCATTGTTATTTTGCCGTGTTTTGGTATACCGCCTTCCCGATAGTGCGTCCCGTTTAATGCTTACCGGTAGACCGCTTCCTTTTTGATCCACTTTTCTGCCGTTTAGTCCAATTGCATTGACGATGTCTATGACAGACGACAGGAAATTGGTTGATAATCACTTGTGAGGATTATTCGTAGCTTTAAATTCTTACAGCTGAGCTGGAATGGAAGTGACATACGGTAGGATGTATATACTACGAACTAGAAGGACATACATTCAGGCATACGGTGGATATCATAGAAATATCCAATAGCTGCATTAGACAGATGGTGAGATTCGTGAACTACCGGTATCCAGCACAGTTTGAAGAATAAAAGATAAACTAAATCCGAGGAGAGGAAAGAAAACATCGCATGTGCGTGTCAATCTGGACAGGAGCTACCGGCGAAGATGCTCAGGTAATAGCAGCAAACATGGATTGTTTTTATAACCATCACCATGCAATCTACCTCAACTCAGTACGTGCAATGTCCGCAGTATCCACACGTCGATGCCAAACAAGCTGTAAAATCTTTCTCGGACTCGCCTTCCCAGTCCAGATTCAGTACCTCATCATTTGGGGGCCTCAACCCAATCATCGCTTGATATGCCCCCGAGTACGACTGCAGCGGTGCTTCCTGACGACCAACGTTCTTTCAGCGACTCCGGAAGGGCGCGATTCACATTCCTATCAAGTTCCCGGAACTGTAATATCTTGCTTTCTTCGTCATGGACTACTTCAAACCGTCCGTCCGCTCGTCCTTGGGCAAATGCAGTGAGGACTTTGAGCAAAGCCGCAAACTGGCGCAGACTGTTTTCTTGTTCCTTTTCCCATATCTTGACTTCCTCGCGGACATCCTGAACTCTGACGTCATTGAACAGTCCATCCTCATGAAAGGCAAGAATGAAGTTGGAGATCTGCGACACCCACATCCGGGGCAACTCCTCACCCAGGATGTTGTCGTCCTTGCGACGAAAAGAACGGGTTTTTAGATTGAAAATAGACGACTGCGACACTGATTGTCCACCAGTCTGGATAACTAGATGCTCCTTGTCCTCTGGTGCATGGGATGTCACGGTGCTTTCTTCGAAAAGGGCTGATAGCAGATCCGCTCTGTTCTGGACTTCATTCAAAGCATACCCAGCTTGTGATATTGGTGATGTAGGGAAGTAACCATCAGCTTCGAACCGCACTACGCACCTCAAGCCTGCAAAGTTGTATTGCACCATTCGCTGGTGCGATTCAGAGCCCTTAACCCCTTCTTCCCAGGTTGTTGATGCTTCAGGGAATGTGTGGCCATAGCCTCGCACGCCTGGGATTGTCTCCGTGGGTGAATTCTCCCGGCAGACAAAGAAAACTGTTGAACCAACTGCTTCGATAATAATCCTGAAACCTTTGTCAATGTTTCGTACGTATCGAAGGAGGTTTCCCATCGTGCTTCCGCAGGCTACTATATCCACATTATTGGACTCAAATGTGTCATTCATCCTCAAGATCGCCTCGACTGCCGGCTGAAGAGGGTATGAAGGGTATCGTGCGGCATTCGGGTCGCGAAAGTATTCTCCATTATCCTCCGGAAGATTCTCAGGTGCAGCCGTTGGAGTCCACGCCGGAGGCTTCCCTGTCGGAATCTTGCTTAGTATATCTCACGCTTGATCATTAAATGTGCTACTTACCAGGAATTACTATGGTCGAGTTCTTTCGATTCAACCAGTTGTATGAACCTACGACAGTGCACTCAGTAATTCGAGGGTCGTCCTTTTTAACTGATGAATTAGCCAGACTATCCAGACCTGCCCTGCTAATAGTGGCCAGCATCGAGCCCAATTTTGGAGCTGCAGGCTCAGGAACTGTGGCCTCATGCCTCCATGCGCCATCGAAATGCCTTACGTATGGCTCTTGTCTATGATGAAGGTGCGAGTTAGAGGAAGGCATTTGATATCTGTTCATAGCGACAACGTCCTCGTCAGCCAGCTTGTTTCTCACTTTCATGGAGCAGGATCACATGGATGTGGAGTTCTCTTCTATTTCTCCGTTTGTGCTACTGCCATATGTACTATGCAGCCCTTCAGTCAGGCTGACATCACCTTGACCTACGTGCGTCCCTCATCAACTCGTTGGTTGCTGTTGGTTCGGAAGTTGGTTCAGTGCTGCGGCATCAGTAAAAGGTCATTGGTTAGCATCTCAAGCACCACTTGTCCCTATGAAATAGTGTGCGATTTTGTGCCGAACAACGCTTGAGAAAGCAACTTCACTTCTTACCATGACCCGGAAAACTATCTCAAGCAGAGCGGTTAAGTGTCTATCAGCTCCTTTGGCAGTTGTTCGTAGTCCTTATGAGTCTTTGAACAAATTCTTCGCTAGCCCGTGCCTAGGATTGGACTCCAGCGTGAGAAGCGACGGAAGATTCTCGACTTGAGATTGAAGCAGCAAGGCTTCGAGACTCCGTCAGTCGTCGGGAAAACGGCTTTGGCAATACTCTAAATCGACCCAAACTCGAACTCTAGAGATGTTGAGATTCTATTAAACGCTGCGAAACTTAGCCGTTATAAGGGTCTATCGAAAGGCTTTCAGGGTCTTGATTCTCCCAGCTGGAGCCTCAATATTTTGTTATGCAATTTAATCGTGCAGAACGCACAGGAACTAATATACCCATGTTGTTCCCGGGTGTCGTGGGGTGTGAAAAGATCATTCTGCAACAAGAGGAATATCGAAATGCAATGAATAATCTGCAGAACTTGGGCATAGACCCTCGAGAGTAAGTCCATTTAACCTTCTTTTCCGAGGCCCACCAGGTAAGCACAATATACAATGGAGGGTTTTGTCATTGCAGTTTATTGACCAGCGTGTCCACTCTAGGGACAGGAAAAACCTCGACGGCACGCAAAATAGGGAAGGCGTACGAGGAAATGGGGATATTGGCCTCTGCAAACGTTATTAAAACTCTGCAACAGACTTAGTAGGGCAGTACGTCGGTCAAACTGGACCTTAAATCAAGGAGCTCCTAGAGAAGACACTTGGAAAGATACTGTTGGTCAAAGCAGTGTATAGGCTAGCAGAAGTTCCATTTGCAAAGGAAGCTCTGGATAAAATTGTTGATTACACCACAAAATCCAAATTCTTCCAGAAGCTGATCATTATCCTAGTGGGCTACGGTACGGATATTAACGGTCTCATGGCAATCAACCCGAGACTAATCAGTCGATTCCCAGGATCACTTGAGCTCAATGGACTAAGTTCTGATGACTGCAACTAACTACTATTCAGCTAGTTAAGGGAAAAAATACCCAAATCCATTCCTCGTGACTTGAGAGTGCTAGACTTCCCTAGCAGCTATCTTTACCAGGCTATGCACAATCGGTTCCTCACCTTGACACAGACCTTAGGCCGGGCTAATGCATGTGATGCTTAAACATTAGCTGAGTCAAGTTTTCGTAAAGCAGTACAAGGGGTGAGCAGTGGAAAAATAGGTCATCTCCGAAGACATGGTCCTTGCAAAAGCTAGATCGCATGCAAGCTGAACGCAGCAATAGCCAGAACGCTCGCGCGAGATTCGAACAGTCTGTTACTTTCCAGCCGGTCTTCGCCTTCGATAATCAATTAGTTAACCTCTCATATTGCAACCGCAGAAGTTCGAGACTCAGGGATCTCGGATGCGATCTGGAGCTAACTGCAACGTGACAAGCTTGCTGCAGAGCAGGAAAGGCAGTACAAGCAGCTCTCGGATTGGGAGAGGGCAGCACAAGCTGTTGAGAATATCAGGAAAGAAGAAACCACAGTGGTAGAGAGCCAGACCGAGGAGGACGATGATAACGAGAACCAAAACAAACATGAACAAGAGCGACTCCAACAAGAGCTTGACAGAAGGGCCAAGGAGGCAGAACTGCAACGGCTCCGGAAACCCCGAGAGGAGGCTGAGAAGCAGCGGCGCAAAGAATAGGAGGCCCAGAGGAAACTGGAGACGATGGGAGTTTGCTGCATGGGGCTCCCGTGGATCAAGCATGCTCAGGGGTATCGATGTGTTGGGGGTTCTCATTGTGTTTCGAATGCGAAATTGTGGTTGTAGGCATTGAGCTCATGTCTAGCTCACTGGTTCAAGATGACCTACATTGTTTGGGCATATGTGCTCCCCCTGAATGTAGGGGTTCTTCTTACATGATGACGATAGTTCGATCAAGGCTAGGACGAACTCCAGAAATGCCTCTTCGCGTGCCTGATAGCGATTAATTGTGAAGTTCATCTGACCACCCTGCTTGACTATCTCACGAAACCCTACAAACCCTTTTAGGGCCCTCGGAGACTGCTTTAGTCTAGCTCCGTACGTTTTAGTGTAGTCTGACATGATCAGATATACTGTTATTGGTATCTAGGCATAGAAGTAGCACTAAGCAAGGACTCTCCTATCTGGCCATCTTAGCTCCTTCTTTGCTATCAAGCAAACAAGGATACATATGCAGATCAAGAACCACTCTCTGACTATAAATCGTATCCTAAATGCCTCAGCCCGTAAAGGTAGCTAGACTCCTACCATAGCTATATCAATACTTCTTAAGATACTGAGGAATACTACTCCCAAACGGCTACGGAATGATCACCGCACAGACCGACAGTTATAACTCAACATCAGCAGAACTTAGTAAATGATCAAAACGTTGAACAATGACAGGGTTTCAGTAGTGCAGGATGTTTATATCTCAGCAGCTATTACTACACAGCCTGAGGTTATATGCCAATGAAACCAGAAATCAAACATAATTTAGTGGTATTTTCTTAGCCGTTTGAACTCATAACGGCAAAACTCCCGAACTACTCAAAAGCCATGGTCAAACAATTACCGCGCGGGATGGGGAATGAACGCGAGTCGGGAGTCA